TAATAATAATAATAATAATAATAATAATAATAATAATAATAATAATAATAATAATAATAATAATAATATTTTATACTTATATTAAAAGCTATCTTATTTACTAAATATTGTAGGTAAAAAAGTCAATCTTAATTAATGAATTTCTAATTTATCAAGTATTTTAATTACATATTTTTTTTTTCTCATCTCATAAAATCGGTTTAGTAAAAAACAATCCTATAAAATCGGAGTCAAACTTAATTACTGCATTTATCATTTTATCAAGTTTTAATTTATTATTTTTTTTTGTCTTATCTCGAAACATAAACTCAGTTTAGTCAAAAACAATCCTTCTTATCTTTACATAAGAAAATCCCATAAAATCGATGAAGTAAAAAAAAAATAAAAAAAATTGTAACCGCAGATTCAATCTTTTTAAGGATTTGTGTGTATTCAAAATTCCTTCTTATCTTTTTACTAACTGTATGGAAATTTATTGTTATCTTTTTACAATTTGTTTATCAAGTATTTTTATTACGTATTATTTTGTCTTATCTCATAATATCAGTTTAGTAAAGAACAATCTCATAAGATCGGAGTCAAACTTAATTATAATTTTATCAAGCATTGAAAAGTCACGCGTTTTTTGTGTTTGGAATCTTTTTTAATCTAAATTATAAATTATTATAAATTATAAAGAGATAAATATGTGATCTGATGTTAAAACATATTTCACGCGTCTCCTTCCCAAATAAAAACATATTTCACGCGTTTTTTTGGTGTGAAATCTTTTTTAAATGCAATTATAAATTATAATTATTTATACATGATGATAAGATCAGTGAACATAGTTATTTTCTTCCCAATGAAAACATATTTCACACGTTTTAGTTGTTTGAATATTTTTTTTAAATGCAATATATTTCAAATTATAATGCGATAAAATATCTTATCTGATTTGTTACTACATATATTGATTTGATTTTACTTGACATTATCTCTACATATAATTCAATAAACCAATTATAAATTAAAAATCTCCCAATACATAATCAACTTGTTCATCACTTTCAACCTGCGAAAAAACAAAAAACAGACCAGTGGGTTATCTACAACAATGAATCAAAGTTTTGGCTTAATCAAACAAGAGGTCTTTAATAATGTTGTGTACAAGGAGGTCTTTAATAATATATAACTGTTTCTTTGTCGAATACTGTTTTATTGTACAATTTTCTTGCGTATTGTAAAACTTTTATTGAATATTGTATCTTATAATATAATATTTCCCAAATAAATATATCCCGTGTCTCGCACAACTCACGTACTATATGTATCCCGTACATTTTTTTTTTCATTTATATAATTGTAAGGCTAGATAAATGACTTTAAAATTGTGTATCTCGTGCATTGCACGGGCTCTGTAATAGTAATAAATACGAGCCTAACAAAATAGGAAAAATCATTAGCTTTTTAGAACTAAATCCTTAATATTTGTTGTGTGCTTAACTTATTTTTTTTCCATTCTCTTCACACAAAAACTCTCTTTCCTGTCGATTACCAAAATATATACAACTCTTATCATTTACCATTTAATTTGTAAATCATAAAAAAGTGGCAAAAAGACAGAAATGATCACCCCCCATACTGAAGAAAAAAAAAATCGTCCCACCACCGGCTTCTCTCTCCGGGAACACACCATCTCCATCGCTGACCACTTCCCTGAAATTGTGATCGAAATTTACATCCCGCCACCTGTTGTGAAGCTCGGCCCGCCGTCTCCATCAAACCCCTTGTTCGGCTCGTCAAGCACCAAATGGCGGGCTCAAAATCTAAATCCCCATCCAGCAAAACATCTTCTTCTACCTCGAAGCCAACAAATAAGGTTAGTGTTGTCGAATTCGAATTTTAGGGCTTTTTTTTTTTCAAAATTTTGATGTTGTTGTAGAATTTGAAATTTTTTTTTTCTGATGTTTGGTGATTTCATTTTGAGTTGCGAAATTGAGAGTGACCATGAACTTTTTCCATATTCTTGTTGTTTTATGTTAATCACCTATAATGTATGTGGTTAAGTAGCTGAAGAACCCCCATTACAGATTGTTTGAAATTTGAATGATGCTAGTACTGTCAATCACAAAACTATACAAGCAAAATGATTAGTCGAGAGATTTAATTTCGGGAATATAGTAATGCAGTAGCTTAAATTTGCTATTCGGTTTGATATGCCAGGATAGCATCTTATTGAGAGTCTAAGGATTGAAAAAATAGCACCACTTAAAGATCATTCTAATGTCTTACGGTTTTTCATTTGAAACCGAATGAATATTTCTTTTAATACAATTACAAATTTACAAGTGATCTACTCTTAGAGGATCAATAATGTTGGAATTTTGGAGGAAATAAGTGGCCCGTTGGTTAGATTAGTTGTTGAGTTTCCTGAACTATAGAATCATAGGATGCTTCTGTTCTGTTTGCACCTATATTTATGTTACTTACGCAATTTTTTTTATTTAAAGTTGTATATGCGGAATGTGCAGGTCATGTTCATTTGCAGTCATTGCCCATTCGTGAAGCATTTGAAGAAAGATATTGTAAAGCTTTCAAACTTCTACATAAAGGTGAGTTATCATCAATTTCATTTTGTGTTATTTGTATTTCTTGTTAATAAAATCTGTACCTATGTATTAGTTTGTTTAAACAAGTGTCTCCATGAATAAAATATCTCTTTTTATGTTCATCTTTATGTGGCAGAAAGGGCTAGCAGTAATTGCAAATTCCTCAAACTCTGTAACTACTTATCCACAGGTTCGGATAACCTTAGACATTGAAATTTGAGCTGCATTAGTTTCTATTAATAATTTGTCATGAAAAGAGCAATTCCTCACAGGATGGACCAAAATTCATGGCTGAGGACACTAAGTTATTTAACTACCCTTTGCTGTATCTCTATGATGAGGTAAGCATTCATCGAACTTGACTTATGCTTCTCAAAATTGAAATTACAATGTCATGCATATTATCCAATATATCATCTCCCTTGCCATTCTGTTATTGCATCGTCAAAGAATTTATAACATACATGGTTATCCATGTACTGTATATATTGATGTGCTTGGTTATGAAAAATGTTTAATGCTAGTTATCACCTACTTCTGATTGAATTTCATGTTTATTTTCCGCAGTCCCAAGATGTGGCGAGAAACTTTGGAGTTGGTTACGCCTGAGTTTTGCACCATTCCTCCACTTCTTTGCCCAACCAATTAAAATGGCTGTCCTTTATGTTTGGTTAATCTGAAACTGGGACAAGAAACTTGACCACTGGAAAAATAATTTGGCATCTACATTACTGAATTACTGATTCGAGATTACTGCTGAAACTTGCTGGAAGGAAGTCTCTCCAGGAGGGAGACGCAACAGCTAACAAGAACTACTGCTGACATTTTTTATCATAGTTCCATTCTTGGAATTTATGTGGCCTGTGTTCCTGAAGTTCTTTCCGAACATGCTGCCATCAACCTTCCAGGACACACTGAAAGAGCAGGTATACGCATTCAGAAGTTGATTGGGTTCTGACTTCTAAGGGGGTAATTATCTTGAGTAACTCTGTTTATCCGTGTAGTGGGATCTTCACTGTGTTCAGTTGCCTATCTTATTGGATATTCCACTGAATTCTTGTTATGCACTCTTACTTATATTGTGGTATTTCGTATCTATTCCCTGATTTCGATTTCATTTGAATGTATTCTGCAGTTTGTGAGCAGGGAGCATAAAGAATTCTTGAGACTTGTCAATAAAGACGCAACTATTCATTATTCACCTTAGTATAATCTTGTGCATTAATGTGAATAGGCTGAGAAGGATGAGTAATTAACTCTGTAGAATACTTTTGTGAAACTCTCGACCAATACAATTCTCTCGGATAGTTTGTCACTTGTTGACTCAAAAATGGATGGTATATCTTTCTTGATCGTTTCAGTTAGCATGAAGATTAACTCTGGTTTTTGTGTTGAATGTTGATCATTACTTGACTAAATTCCTTTTGGGAAAACATGATGAGATCTGAGAAACTTAAGCGTAGCCAATTTAGATCAATAACTGTTTCGTGTTTCAACATAATTGCTGTATTTTGTGTGATTTTGGTTATGAAAAATGACTTCAAACCTTTGCTTTCTTCACAAACCAGACTCTTAATCCATCATATTGTTTGTATCATAAAATGTTCAAACACATGCTTGGTCAGCAAGATCTCATTATTCTATCATGTCCTTCCAATTTTGTGATTTTTCTCAATCCAGTTTGATGCTATGCTTCAAAAATTGGTGACATAGTCTTGACAGGTAGATCTTCCGGTCAATTCCCACTAACTTTAAGGAAAAAAACATGCCAAGTTGCTACAAGAAAAATAACATATTCATCAAAAAAATATTCTTCATTCATATATTGATCCTCAGAGAATCAGGGACTGTCCGGGAGGTCGATCCAATAGTTAGTCGATCCACGTCGCTTTGCATCGGGACAAAGCAGGAGCGGAGTTGTGCTCCTATCACCCAAATCCGGCCCTGGCCAAATCCGGCCCTGGCCCTCTTTATTCGCATAGTATATGCAATTCGACTTGGTTCCTCCCCCAGAGCCGGACCGTTGACAAAACCCCATTTCCGCACGAGCCGATGAAAATCGTCATCCCATCTATTCGGTCCAGTTCCACGCACTCCCTCCGCTCCACATTTACTCGGAAAACACGGAACACAATGCCATCATCCTCCGCATAGTAGCGGAATAAGAACACCTTTATCACAAGAAGGAGCTCGCCCCCGCCAGCTGGCGACTCGATCAGGTAGCTCGGGCGCACGCCCATGACCCATCTCAGTTCCGATAGGGGCAGTATCCAGAGGCCCGACCCGTCGGCCGACATTAACGGCACGATCATGATGGTTGGCCCGTCGACAAGGCCAACGGTCATAAGCTGGTAGTCGCCGCGCCTGGAAAAGAACACGCCGTAAATTTGACCGTGGAGAGCACCGATGGCCGTCATTAAGAAGGGACTCGGGAGTTTCAATAGGGTTAGCTTGGAAAACTCGTGGGCCCCGACCACACACACGGACAGTTTGAAGCCGTATGGGCAGATAAAAGCTGCCAAGCAGCCCTGCTCGGTCGGGGGTTTCGAGAGGACACATATTTTGTAGCGAGACGACTTGCGGAGTTGGGGGAGAAGAATTTTATTGGCGAGCTGCGGGTTCCAGAGGAAGCACTCATCGGTGAGGGGGTCGGCCATGGCCAGCCAGCCGTGGTTGGAGCCGAGCACGCGCTTGCCGGAGAAATTGGCGATGGAGACCGTGCGGGACCAGTTGCCTGAGAGGCTGTAGAAAGAATGTTTGTCGTGGGCTCTAGTGTGCGAGGTCACGAGCAGAGGAACTTGAGTTTTTCTCTTCGTCTCCGACATCGAGTTCTCCATAGCGTAGCGTGAGCAAATTTACTCTTAAGAGTGGTGGTTTGGCTAAATATAAATCTTGAGTATAAAAGCATGAAGGTTTTGATTTATGTATAAATCTGAGTTCCACAAGGATTCTTGATGGGTAGTTATATTTATTTATTTATTTATTTATTTATTTATTTATTTTTGTTTGGTACAAGAATAAAAAAAGGAAGATGGGCAACATGGAAATAAAATATAATTTGATCTGCATATAATTTGTTGTAGTTAACATATGTTTTATATATGGTCACATTATATAATTTGACTTGTTTTGTATATGGTTACATATCCCTGGTATCCATCTTGCTATATGTATATAATGCATATGTTATTTAACTAAATTATTAATTTAGTTAAAATTTAGTAACAATATTTGTATGTTTTTCGAGATATTCATATAGTAAATTATTAATATTTGACGAATATCGATATTGCATATAGAAGAATTAATTAAATACACCTTTAGGAAAGAGTCTAATTATGAGTGATGGTATCATTTTAAATAGTAAATAATAATATATTTGGTATAAGTAATTACAATAAAAAAATGTGTTAATCCTTCACATTTTTTATCTTGAGCACAATAGATTTAACAATAAAATAGATACTTTTTAACTAAAACCTTTATGATTACATATCATGATTTACAAAAATATATCTATAGATAAGTTAATAATAATAACTAAATAAATATTATTATGAAATAAAACAAATTCTAAAAATGAATAGAATGCATATATATAAACAATATTTATTTTGAATTTGTTTAAATATTTTTAAATTATTTATGTTGACATCCGGATACCTGGGTTGAACCCTAACTACTTGCAAAGTTAGAAGGCGAGGGTAGACTGACCAAAGATCCAAGTCAACTCGGGCCTGGATTGGATCGCTAAAAAGAGAAGGTATAATGATAATAATAGGGTTTAAGGGCGGCTACATGGACGAGTACGCATCTTGGAACCTCGAATGAAGATGCCGAGTAGGGGCGACGTCGACCACCCATGAATCCCACAAAGAGGACCGAGCAGTCGCAATTGTAGGTCAGCAAGTGACCCCGAGGTCGAGTAGAAAAATGTTGTTGATGAAGGTCGGTCAATGAGTTGGTGGAAAAACGTGGGATGAAGATGTGCCGATGGGACGTTCCATATGAGTAGGTTACCCCAAAGGAGTAAAAGCATATGTCTAGACCTGACAACATTTAATGCATCCCATGCTGGCATTTAATGCTGCAGGGATCATCATGGCCAAACCCCTGATTCCATTAAATGACTGACACAACCTGTCATTCCTTTTCACTGTACCTCAGGATGGTGTGAACAGTGTCTCAACATTGCCTTGCTTACAGTAGTATAAATAGCTCATTTATGTCACTTTAGGAGGGCGGCTGAACTCGTTTTAAATTCTGCAACAACCATATATTTCTCTCTCTAAAGAAGAATACTCCTTTGTAATTTCAGCAAAGTGCCGACCATAAGCGTATAGACGAGCTGACCCATAAATTAATAAGGAATCCACTTCTTTTCGTCTTATTTTCTTTGAACAATCTCACTCGAGTATTAATTAACTGTTGACCGGAAACGTCCGTCAATAATTTACATAACTAAATAATATTAATCTATATATATATATATATATGTATATATATATCTAAAGAATTATACTTCTATAAGCGTTATAAATAATAATAATAATAATAATAATAATGACAATAATTTTTTTTAAAAAAATAATAGTGGAGTATTATGGTGAACAAAAATAAGTAAAAATATTATTTTGTTTATATCAATAATAAACGGTATCAAGCTAACATATTATTAAAATAAAGTTTTACAAAATATTTTAAGAAACAAGCCCATCGTGCATCGCACGGGATACACACTAGTTAGAAAACAAAAACAAAAACAATAATATATTTTCTAAGAATTATTAGAAAACTAAAACAAAAACAATGAATAAAAATTCATATCCACTTCGTCGTAATTAGGTCATTTGTCGGGATGATCGGTATCACCCACGTGGCAAAATCCAATCTCGTAAGGCAAAGTGCATCTTCGCACGAATATCTTCCATCATCCGAGTGAAACTTCCCGTCCCTCAAAGAGTAGAAAATGGCATTCCCACCATAAAATTTGGGCAACCGGATCGTGTTAGCCGTGGCTTCCGTACAAGCCGTGTACCCAAATGACGAGAAGGAGCTTAGGTACAACACTTTGTTCCCAAAATCCTTAACCAAATCCCACTTCATCGAATCCTCCAAGAGCCTATAGACCCTCACCTTGCGCTCATCTCCGAAGGCAAACGCCCCGAAAAGCTCATCGAGCCCCTTCACCTTGAACAAGTAGTGCTCTCTTATATAACCTTTTCGGACACGCCTCCATCGGAAGCACTTGTAACTCACGTCGAGACGCCGTTCGGACATGTCGAACCTCGCGATATTTCCTTTCAAATCCAAGAAGTAGACGAGCCCTCTGTGGAGAATCGGGGCCCCACGCGACAATGAGAAACTTGACGCCGTTTTTTGCTCGACGCCCGACCACCCGTTCTTTCCGCGCCTTAGCACGTGAATCTCTACCAACTGATCACACCTTATGTTGTGGATCCCCAACACCGTGCAGTCCTCGGAGGTTGGCGGATGGAAAAAGGAGATGGAGTGGAGGCTGGGAGGGGTTGTGAACGGGAGCTCGACTGACCGGCGGTTGGAGGGGTCGAAGAAGAAGAGGGTGGTGTCGGGCCGGGAGATGAGCAGCCAGCCGTGCCGGGAGCAGCGTATCTCGGCATCCTTGGGGAGCTCCGGGAAGGTCTCGTGGAAGAAGAAGCCGCCGTGCGGGTGGTGAAACCGCCACGTGCGCGTGCCCGGGTGGTAGTCAATGAGGCAGGGCGAATACCGGTGGGGTGAGGATGCGGCGACTCTGTTCCAAGGCCGACAGACGAGGCTGAAACTGTGGCGGTCTCCGGCAAATAGGTTGGAGAGGATAAGGTCAAGGAGCTCGGGAGGGAGATCAGCCCAATTCCCCATGCTTGCTAATATTAATCTACACCTGTATTCCCAATTGTTGGAAATTATTTAGATTGTCTAAGATGGTGTAGAAACAATAATATATAAATAGCATAAAAATTTGAATCTTGCAATACCATAAAAACAGAGAACAAAAGCATAAAAATTTGTATTAGACTTTGGACTTTTGTATATTTTTAATAAACTAGTTAAATTTATATGTAAATGTGTTATGATCTTAAACACTAGAATGAAAATAGGAGAAAAATATATTATTTGATTGTTATTTGTTTTTTCTCCAATAATAACTGGTATTTACCAGTTGGTTGTCTGTCACAAACAAAATCAAGAAGAAGCTTAATTAACTGGTATTTATGTGCATTATAACTAACCTTAAAACAGAGAACAAAATTAAGGATAAACCTTTGTACAACACACAAACTTGGGTAAATTTAAGAATACCTTATAGTAGTAAACTTGAATCGATTTGTTCGACTCGTGAATTCACAAAGAACAGAGGAGGAACTTGAGTTTTTCTCTCCGTAGCGCGTGAGCAAAAATTACTCTTAAGAATATAATTATAGTCCTCGTATATATATATAAATCTGAGTACCACAAAGATTCTTGATATGGGGATCGAATTATATAATTATTATTGTTTTCTAGTATAATAATATGAAAGGAAAATAAGCAAGATGGAAACAAAATATATGTATGTTCCTCTACATTAAATATATATAATTTGATATGTTTTTATATATGGTCACATTAATATTCATTCCCTCGTATCCATCCATATATGCTATATATAAATAAATAAATGCATATAATAGCACTTTCATACTCCTATTAATTAATGGTTGAGTTGTAGTCGTCCTCAATAATTTTTGGTGGTTCGGAAGTCTAGTCCTGGTCAATTTTTTGGTGGTTCGAACAAGAAAGGACTTGTTTTTATTCATTCTTAGACTTTGTACAATACTTTTGTGAAACTCAACTCTCAATCAATACCCTTCTCTCCTATAGTTTAGTTTGTCACTTGTTGACTCAAAAATAAAATGGTCCAAATATCTTTCTTGAGCTTACAATTGTCGACCTAAGATTCATCTTCCGGCCAATTCCCACCAACTTTAAGAAAAGAAAAAAACATGCCTAGTTGCTACTATATATCACATCAGGGACTGTCCGGGAGGTCGATCCAATAGTTAGTCGATCCACGACGCTTTGCCTCGGGACAAAGCAATACCGGAGTTGTGCTCCTATCACCCAAATCATACACATACACGAACCGGCCCTCGTTATTCGCATAGTATATGCAATTCGGCTTGCTTCCTCCTCCAGATCCCGACCAACGACAAAACCCATTTCCGCACGAGCCGACGAAAATCTGTGAAAATTTCAGATATTTTGCGGAGGAAAAATCTCCATTTTCTGTATCTTTATTTCTTAGCTCAAAATGTACGTACAGTCTCATATTTATACATATGAGTCATGCAACACGAAGATTAAAACGGCGTCGCTTCTAATTAACCTAAGCGACGTCGTACAAACTAAGTAAGACAGAAAAAAAGAAAAGGAATAAAGAAAAGCGCTCAAACGTTTTTTGCTAATACAAATCGATATAAAAGGAATAGAAAAGAAACATGCTGCAACTAAGTCTTCACTGCACATGCTCCCTTAGCTCTCAAGCTCATATTCCAACACCCCCTCCTCAAGGTGGGCAGGGAGAGTTGATCATGCCCAGCTTGCCAACAAGAAGTCGAAATCTTGAGACCCCAAGGAATTTAGTGAAAATATCTGCAGATTGCCCTATTGTGCCAACATGCATAGGATGAACAAAGCCTGCTTTGGTTTTCTCCCTCACAAGATGGCAATCAATATCCAAATGTTTAGTACGTTCATGGAAGACTGGATTGGCACTGATGTGGATAGCTGCTTTATTATCACATAACAAAGGAATAGGAAAGTCCAAACTTACACCAAGGTCCTGAGCAATATAAGAAATCCACATGAGTTCTGAGACAGTAGAGCTCATAGCTCTATACTCGGCTTCTGCTGAAGACTTTGAAACAGTGATTTGTTTTTTGCTCTTCCAAGAGATCAAACACCCTCCCAAAGAAATGCAATAGCCTGTAATGGATCTTCTTGTATCTTTACAGGCAGCCCAATCAGCATCACAAAAGGCTGCAAGCTTAGAAATATCACCTTTAATAAAGCTCAGTCCCAGATCAACAGTCCCCTTTAAGTACTTCAAAACATGTATGGCTGCATCCCAATGCTTTGTGCAAGGTGATCCCACAAACTGACTGAGTTGTTGTACCACATAGGAAACATCTGGCCTTGTCATATTTAGATATAGGAGTCTCCCTATAAGTCTCATAAATTGGTCAGGTTGATCTAGCAAAGCACCATCTTGCTCCCTCAGATTGGTACCATGTGGTAAAGGTGTAGAGGCTGTCTTGCAGTTCAACATTCCCATGTCACCCAATGTTTATTGTGTTTTTGTGTTTATTTCTATGTGATTGTGTGTGCTTTCGAGTTGATTCTAGGCTTATTTTAGTGTCGACCGGTCCATTTTGGCGTTTATCGTGTGTTTTTATGTTTTGTTGTTTGTTTCATATTTTGGCGTACTTTCCCGTACTTTTGCTATGAATTTCAGGTTTATTCCGGGATAGAGATGGAGAGTCGAGTCATGCTCCGAGAGAGCCGAGTCACGTTCCGAGCGACGAGCATTTCCCGTAAGAGTCGAGTTTCCGAGTAGTTTCAAACCATTTCATGCGAGTATGTGCAAACCTAGAAGTTGAAGCCGTAGTCGAGTCCATATTTCGATGATTGTCCAGCACATGTCGCGCGCTCGTGCAGAACTCCGCGGGCGAGGGTCCAGCGCCCAGCCATCGCGCGCTCGCGCGCTCGTGAAGCAGCCCGCGCGGTCGAGAGTGATCACAGGCCACTCCGCGCGCCCGCCGCGAGATTCGCGCTATCGAGAGCGCACCAACCCCCAGCACGTCATTCGCTCGCGAGCACGCGCACCCACCCGCGACATCGAGAGCGTCGATGTCCTGCCATCCGCGCCCGCCAATCTATGCGCGACGTCGAGAGTGTGCGCTCGCCCATGTGTCAATGCCTTTGCACGCCCGCGAGCTCGCGAATGTGCCGGCGTGGTCGAGAGTGCGCAATTTTAATCTGCGTTTTTCACTATGTGTTTGTGTGAGTATAAATACTTTTTGGCCTTTGTATTTTGGGGGATCTAGCTCATTATTTTCATTTTTCCTTTTGGAGAACTTAGCTTATGTTTATGTTTTCTCTTTAGACTAAGGAAATCATGTCATTTTCCGGGAGGTTTTCCGGCGACTTTCGTTTCTTTCAAGTTCCGAGCTTTTGACTCCGTTTTTCATCGCCTACGCAATAGAAGAATGGGTATTTAGTTTTAAAGCTCTTTACTTCGATTATTGTCTCGTTTTTACTTATAATGTCTATTAGGGTAAATGTGAATTTGGTTGATGATGGAGGGAAAATCGAGACTTGATTGTTTGATGTGATGCTCATAGCTCGTTTATTTTGCTTGTCGTTGATGATCATCTAGTAGTGTTAATGGCATGAGATTTCGGTAGTCTAGCTTTGTTTCCTACTCGTGACTTGAACTTGCTCTTAGTTAGTTGCTCGCCTCCTAGTGCTCGTTTAGTGATAATCATCCTCCAATCCAATTGTTTAGAATGTTTAGGACTTTATTTTCTATTTTTGTGATTTGAGCGATTGAATAGTGAGTAAAGCTCCGAATAGCCTTCCCTCGAGATCGACCCGAGTCGGGTAACTCGGTTATCCTTTGCCCATCAAATATATATATTAAACACCCAACAGATCCAAAATATACTTTCTCTGACCCAAAAAAACTCCATACTGTTGTTGTACAATTTTCACCCCTAAAAAATACTTTGCCACTCCAAGGTCCTTGATAGTGAAGATTGTATCAAGATATACCTTGAACTCCTCTATTAACTCAGCATTAGATCCTGTAAGAAGAACATCATCCACATATACTAGAACACCTAGAAAGTCTGTACCCCTTCTCAAAGTGAACAAACAATGGTCATAAGTTGATTGTAATAATCCAAAAGCTCCCAGCTTATCACAAAGCTCTAAGTTCCATTCTCTAGATGTTTGTTTCAATCCATATAGACTCTTATGCAGCTTGCACACTTGCCCTTGACCAGCCTTGGTATACCCCTGAGGGGGTTGCATATACACCTCTTCAGATAAATGACCATGTAGAAAAGCATTGTTCACATCTACTTGATACAGCTTCCAACCATGATGAACACTGAGTGCAATGAACAGCCTTACAGTTACAAGCTTGGCTACTGGTGAGAAGATATCAAAGTAGTCAACTCCTTCCACTTGGTTGTAACCCTTAGCCACAGGCTGGGCTTTGTATCTCTCTACTGAACCATCTGGCTTCCTTTTGATCTTGAAAACCCACTTAGATCCTATAGCCTTCTTTCCCTCTGGCAATGTGGTAAGTTCCCAGGTTTGGTTGAGATCAAGAGCATCAAGCTCTTTTTGCATTGCATCAACCCATGCTGGGTGCTTACAGGCTTGAGAGTAGTGTGAAGGTTCCTTTTCAAGTGAGATATTGCTCATGAAGGCTGAAACCTGACAGATGTAATCCTGGTGCCATAACGGTGCCTTTCTGTTCCTTACACCTCTTCTTATTTCTGGATCATGTTGTATAATCTCTTCTTGTTCAGTCTGGTCATTGCTGTTGTCATTTGAGATATTGTGATCATCATCTGTTATGGGTGCTGGTATGACTTGTTTAGTTGCAGTTGTGTCTTTCTGATAAGGATAACATTTCTCAACAAATGTGACATCCCTTGATATAAGAAGCTCATTAGGATCTAAGTCATATAACTGATATCCTCTTTTCCTTGAGGCAAAACCCAAGAAGACACATCTAATGCCTCTGGCACCAAATTTTGTTCTGTGAGGTATGTCCTTTGCTGCATAAGCTAGACACCCAAATGGCTTTATACCTTTGTACTCAGGCAGTCTCTTTGTTAGCCTCTCATATGGTGTTTCCCAATGTAGCACTGAGTTGGGTGTCCTATTGATCACATAGGCAGCAGTAAGCACTGAGAAGGGCCAGAACTTCAATGGCAGATTTGCTTGAAACATAAAAGCCCTTGCAACTTCCAATAAGTGTCTGTGTTTTATCTCAACAATGCCATTTTGTTGAGGTGTGTAGGCACATGTGGTCTCATGCACTATC